TATTCATGCTCTCTAGATCCTGAAAGCTGTGTACATCAAAGCACCTAGTGAACACTACGATTATTTATAGACACTCCTTGAGAGACTTTTTATTATTACCTGAGTTCATAGTTGTAGAAACGCCTAGTGTCATACATAAGTTGTGTTCGTAGGACTTAATCGATTTGAAATACAAGCGTAATTGAAAACGGCAAGTTGGAACATAAACAAAGACGCCAACAACACCTTACCTGGAATATTACGATAAGTTAACCATAAAGATGTCACACACTTAAGAATTATTCAGATGAAAACGCAGAATCCACAACTATTGACTATAAAAGCATATCAGGACGAGCAATCCTATTTTTTATCGTTGATCAGGATGACCTGTTGTTAAAACGTTCTACTGAGTCAAGTTTACATATTGTAGTGAACTAAATCTAGTGATGGAGTCAGCGTGATTAATGTAACCAATAACCAGGAGACCGGGTGAAATAGCTCATAGATGATAAAAATGACGTCGGTATATACACTCTTCGTGTTCCCTTATATCGTGAGACTAAGATTGTACTAATGTGGTATGACAGTTTTGAACGATGCATGTGTCTGGTCCTACGCTGTAGCTGACTGAATATGTCTAGTGATCCGATTGAAGGAGATATAGAAATAAAGGTCATAGAACTTTTAGTATGAATAATGAAATGTCAGCTTTATGGTCAAATGACTTCAGTGTTCTACGGTCGATTATAACCTCGGTCTTCATTGAGAACTATGTTGAGTGATGGTAGAATGCATAGAACTTCTTGGAAAAACATAATTATTAGTAGAAAAAAGTCGGGTTATTTACAATTCGGTAAACGAGTATGACATAGAAGTCAATTATTCGGTATGACACAATAATAATAATAATAATAATATTAATCTCCAAATCTAGCTAACTGTACAAAGTTATGGTGATTGTTATTCAATCGACGCTACCAATGCTAGAAAGATGTTAGACTAATTAAATTGTTATAATTATTGTAGTTTAAATCAGTAAACTCGACAAATAATACTTTATATTTTACATGCTAACACTATAAATACCAAACATTGTATACCTGAAGTACTATTTCGTAATTTTACATCATACAAGTCAGATTATTTTTAATTAGTTTTTTGGCACTCGATTGTCTTTGGAATTCCCAGTTTTCGTCCTAACATATAACTAATCTGTTGTATTAAACCGTGATTTTCTGTAATTCAACGGTATTTTTATAATTCAGTGGGTACTTGATTGTGTAGTTTGATTTAAACAAGTACACAGGGAAATATTGCACACATTGAGTATACTGTTATGTTGATACATTATTGATTGTTGTTCTGTAAAAAGCTTAAAATCTACTTTGCTAAATTCATTTAGCGGTTTCAAAGGAAGAGCTGAAATATTTATCTCTGAGTACCATGGATCTAAAGCGAAAACATGAAGAAAAAAACATTCCGACCGAGACTAAAAAATTAGTTTAACAGGATGGACGGGAATAATAACGACGAACCACACACTTGATAGATCGCCTTATTCCACATATAGAGTAAACTTATTTAGACAAAGGAACAATGTAGGAGTAGGTTGGAAGAATGATACAGGTGGTAATCGAAGACATGCTACAAGTCCATGAGAAGTAGACTGAGTCGTGTTGGTAGGTGTAGACTACCTGGTTGGGGTCCGCGAGACGTTAGCACCCGATTGTTAGAGACCACGAATGACATGGATCAGGTGCATCCACTCTATATGTTCTCTCAAATTCTAATTTTCTGTATTCTTTATGTTCCTTTGTTTTCTTTCCGAATTTATTTCACTGGATTATACTCCTTGAATAATATTTTCGAACTTTAATCTCTCCGATTACTGCTTAAACTTTTACTACATGTACCACTTTAGGATTTGTATCAACAATTGTATCTATGTGCTATTGTGGTAAGGCAACCCGAACTGATGTATGAACGTACGCAGTTCTACATTGTCATTGAGGGACTGGACATAGGTCGTAAATAGTTTTTATGAATATTTTATAAAATAGCATCAACTCGTAAATATCTATCACTGGTTGCAAGGTATTTTGCATGCATTTAAGGTACAAAAATATTTCTACTATTGATTATCGCTCATAAGCTGATTCCTCGTTTCTAATAATTCTCGTACAGCTCAGTCGGTACACGAGGAAAACCGAAGATATCCCCTTCACTAATTCACCTACTGATAGTTATCTGTCATACACATACTCAACGTATACCTGTAAATAAATAGTGTCACCTGTTGTCCTATAATTCTTAGAACTTCGAACATTTCATTTAGTAACTCAGAAACTTAATAATTGAACGTGTCTTTATTTAATGTGGACAACCTCTAATGGGAATATATGCACAAATATTAAATACAACACTGGCAGTATCAGGAATAGGTGAATGAAACTAATGTGGAATGACTATTATCTCGAAACAAGATCTGGATTTTTTAATTGTTCAATTCGGACTGAAATGATTGTGTTCTATTGTAATCTGGGTCTTTTTTTACGATTAGAGGAATGGTGTACTCTAAAAATAAGTTACCTCCCTGGTATCAATTTAAAATCGTTTTATTTAGCACAGAAATATATAGCAGATTCGAGCGTTCAAATAGAATTTCAACAAACTCTTTCCAGCTTTATTGAATATTGAGTAAGACAAAGTTAAGCCCGCAAATGAATACCAGGATTAAATTCAGCGGATTGTTTGGGATCGGACCACGAACTTGTGTTAAAATAACCACTTTGAAGTGCAGTAACATGAGAGCAATCTATAAGTGATGTTATCAAAGGGAGGGTTTCAGAAAATCATCACAAAAATGCACTATTCATGCTCTCTAGATCCTGAAAGCTGTGTACATCAAAGCACCTAGTGAACACTACGATTATTTATAGACACTCCTTGAGAGACTTTTTATTATTACCTGAGTTCATAGTTGTAGAAACGCCTAGTGTCATACATAAGTTGTGTTCGTAGGACTTAATCGATTTGAAATACAAGCGTAATTGAAAACGGCAAGTTGGAACATAAACAAAGACGCCAACAACACCTTACCTGGAATATTACGATAAGTTAACCATAAAGATGTCACACACTTAAGAATTATTCAGATGAAAACGCAGAATCCACAACTATTGACTATAAAAGCATATCAGGACGAGCAATCCTATTTTTTATCGTTGATCAGGATGACCTGTTGTTAAAACGTTCTACTGAGTCAAGTTTACATATTGTAGTGAACTAAATCTAGTGATGGAGTCAGCGTGATTAATGTAACCAATAACCAGGAGACCGGGTGAAATAGCTCATAGATGATAAAAATGACGTCGGTATATACACTCTTCGTGTTCCCTTATATCGTGAGACTAAGATTGTACTAATGTGGTATGACAGTTTTGAACGATGCATGTGTCTGGTCCTACGCTGTAGCTGACTGAATATGTCTAGTGATCCGATTGAAGGAGATATAGAAATAAAGGTCATAGAACTTTTAGTATGAATAATGAAATGTCAGCTTTATGGTCAAATGACTTCAGTGTTCTACGGTCGATTATAACCTCGGTCTTCATTGAGAACTATGTTGAGTGATGGTAGAATGCATAGAACTTCTTGGAAAAACATAATTATTAGTAGAAAAAAGTCGGGTTATTTACAATTCGGTAAACGAGTATGACATAGAAGTCAATTATTCGGTATGACACAATAATAATAATAATAATAATAATAATAATAATAATAATATTAATCTCCAAATCTAGCTAACTGTACAAAGTTATGGTGATTGTTATTCAATCGACGCTACCAATGCTAGAAAGATGTTAGACTAATTAAATTGTTATAATTATTGTAGTTTAAATCAGTAAACTCGACAAATAATACTTTATATTTTACATGCTAACACTATAAATACCAAACATTGTATACCTGAAGTACTATTTCGTAATTTTACATCATACAAGTCAGATTATTTTTAATTAGTTTTTTGGCACTCGATTGTCTTTGGAATTCCCAGTTTTCGTCCTAACATATAACTAATCTGTTGTATTAAACCGTGATTTTCTGTAATTCAACGGTATTTTTATAATTCAGTGGGTACTTGATTGTGTAGTTTGATTTAAACAAGTACACAGGGAAATATTGCACACATTGAGTATACTGTTATGTTGATACATTATTGATTGTTGTTCTGTAAAAAGCTTAAAATCTACTTTGCTAAATTCATTTAGCGGTTTCAAAGGAAGAGCTGAAATATTTATCTCCGAGTACCATGGATCTAAAGCGAAAACATGAAGAAAAAAACATTCCGACCGAGACTAAAAAATTAGTTTAACAGGATGGACGGGAATAATAACGACGAACCACACACTTGATAGATCGCCTTATTCCACATATAGAGTAAACTTAATTAGTTTATTTATTTATTTATTTTAACACATAAATATCGGTACAAGAAGGCACCAAATACATATGCGCCACACATATCTCATTTGATATGTCTGAGGGCTGTGATACTGCCTGGGTGCTCAAACCGAAGCAGGTGGTTTTCTTAGGGGCCACACCCCGAGCCTTCGACCTGAAGATCTGATCCACAAGGCAGTGGAGCATCGTGAGGAGATGCAGTCCCATGGTAGCCTGTGACCAATGATTGGTTCATACGCCATTTGTTCCTTCAGGATACTGGAGCCCATGTGCACCATTGGTTTGGGATCCGGTTATAGCGCCGGACATTCGCTTTTCGTCCTCTCATTTTTGTAAACAACACCCCCGCCACGAGAAGGCAGTGAGTAGGACTTCCCTGGCAGGGGCTGTATACGCAAAGGAACAAAGGAACAATGTACCACTTTGAAATTTGTATCAGGTTTTCCATCAATGTCGATTAAAAAGCTATGGTACCAAATCTCAAAACAAAAGAACATCATGTTTTCACCTCGTAGTTTATATGGCCCATAATCATAACGCGTAATCAATAAGCCTGAATAACTTTATTTAAAAATAATGATGGCTGCTGCATATTTTAGACAATAGGATGAGAAGACAAAGTTGATCGGGACTATGTCACACTTTACTGTCCAAGTTGATCAAAGGGAGTTCTGCTTGTGATCAGACCATTTAACTGAACTACTAAACATCGGAACTGTTTAGCGCATTTGGATACTTTATTCTTGTTATTGAGTTAACAAATTTTCCTTAGCGGCTCATTTCTACCGAGCTCTAGTCAGGCAGCGAAAGTGCAGATCTTGATTCTACTACGATTGTGATAAATTTATCCCTTTCTTACAAATCAAAAATGAAATTGATCAAAATTTGTATAAAGAGAGCTTAATAAAAAAACTGCTAACAAGTATCCAGTAGAACTTTTGAGTGCAAGCAGTTTCCTTGGGCTCTTAGCGACATCTTGTTAGAGAACACGAAGCTTATAATCATTAGGTTATTTAAACCCAAGGTCGGAGTGCGTGACTAATTTCTACTCTAAAACAACCATAGCAATCCATGAAGAAAATTAAAGAAATCTTAAACAGGATTAGGTGTTGTTTTTATCTATGAACATTCTCTAATAACTGTAAAACTAACTACCAAAAGCATGAATCAAAAGATGTGCAACTTCATTATAATGAACTGGGAAAATATATTCAGAATAAAATTACTTTATCTACAATCAGGATCAACAGAGGTAATCACTGGGATTAAATGCTTTCAGAATGCAAGGACCAAATAAATTGTTGTGCTCAATTTCCAAACAAAATGAAAAAGATAGGATTACAATAAAGTAATGACAACAACGTGCAACAGTGAAGTACAACAAGGTTACTACGAAAGGTTGCACGGTGGAAATAATATGTTAACTAATTTGAAAGACAACTCGGAGATAATTTTACATGAATTAAGGAATTTCAACTTTATGCTTGGACATTGGGATAGCTAGACCTTGATTTTCATTGACAGTGACTTCGTGAGGGAAATCATGGAAAGTATATGACACACGAAGTTGACGTGGATTTTCTAATAAACCAACACAGGGGTCATAGAAACCTTGGAAATCACACCACCGACCAGGTGGTAAGCGTAAGTGACTTTTTTCTATCATAGCCTGAAGGGGTATAGTCACATCAAATGTAAGTGGACCACCTGCATCAGATAAAGTAGAGGGATCAGAGGTTGATGAAAGGCAACCATATATTGCCTGATCGATGATAAGGCCAGAAATAGACAGTTCATTCCGTTTACTTCGTGATGCAGCTCTCCTCATAAGTTCCTGAGTGGACAGTGCTTCACGGCGTTTTCTGTTCAGTTCTTCGCGCAGTTTAGTTCTTCGAAACTTTTGGGCAAGTTTTAACTGACGTGATAGATAAGGTTCATAGACCAACATGCGAATAGCCGAAAATGCAAGTATGGGGAAAATTAAACCGTAACCAAAAGCAACTCTGTCAGGGTGATCAGATAAAATAAAAGGAAAAGAATATGTCTGAGTACCTCGTAAAAGACTGAGTTTAACAGTTACACCTTTTTGAATGCTTAGACGAATCTGACCTGAGATTCTAGAATGAGCGGAAATTTGACATTGTGCACCTAGAGTGAATTCACAAATGTCTGTAGTGTTAACACCAATGATGCACGATATATTGCCTTTACCGCGTCGCTGTTGTTCGAAATCATAATTATCTGAATCTGCCCAGTCACAATCATGTCCAGGAACATTTTCTTTATCAATTACACCAGATCCTCGAGGTGGATTTAGCCAAGTCCATGAGACGGACTTTTCCAGTAACAGGGAAAGGCTTGCATAACCAGATGCATTCAGTTTACTTGAAATTCGGGCATTATAATCACCGTCAGCAGACGTAAAAAACAATTCACTCGATATACCTGGATTCATGAGACAACGTAACTCCAAGTGTGCATGTACATGAGATAACAACTGGATATTTACACCAGCAGAAATACCAGGGATTAGATTTATACTCGACTTGGGAGATCTTTCATATAAACTAGCTAAAGATAAACCTAAACTACCCTGGATACGCTGTCCAAAAGTTCTCCTTGCTCGTATACCAGTACTCAATCCACGACCAGCGCGACCGTAGGAAAACTGTGAGAAAAACAAAATATACATTTTTGGACAGTTTAAGTAGTAAATCCGAAGCGCGTAAAAATTTATTGAAGTTTATACAACGAAATGGATATCAAAATGTTTGTTGAGTAACAAATTGTCATCTCACCTCCGTATCGATTGTAGTTGGACCGAAAATTGACTTTCTGGAGCAGTGATGTCGCCATATAGCAAGAAATGTCCCTATCCCTACACCATTATGGGCTGTCACCTGGCCAGCTAAACTTACTGAGTTTTTAATGCTGATACCAGCATTGATAGATTGAGCAACGGAAAGCTCATAAATTGATGGAATTGGAACCAATGAACGGTCCTCTGGTGGCTCCTATAACAATAAAATAAGCAATAAGATGAATCAGCTTTACACCAAGCATTATAATTATGAGTAATCTAGTGATGAATACCACTTCACATGATTTTGCAGAACTTCTGCAGTACGACAGATAGTTAGGATTAATGTTTTAGACGATACTGTTTACGTTGATCTTTAGGATTTTAAATAGAAACAACTAACCAGAAAGCAAAACAACCAAATTTTACATGTCTTCGTTTGGATAAAAGACAAAATTTCATTTATATCAACACAGAACTGAGTTTAAAAGTCAGTGATAACTATTAGTGAAATCTTGATTTGCGTTAAGGAACATCTGCGCTATGCAAAAAGACTTGATAATTCTACAGAACTCGAAAATCTACAAATCAAATCAACAATAGTAGTGTATATCACATTCAAAAACATCAAGAACATAGTAAAAATATTCAGAAGCGCCTCCTCAGTAGTAAAGAAAAACAAGTAACTGAGCTTCTTGGTGTTTCTAAATCCTACTGTGCTGAACCGAGAATCTAATCAAACTAGAAAATTTGTCAAAGGATTCATACCGAACCCGTTCAGCGCCACACCATATACAAATATACAAGTGGAATTGATAGATCAGATAACAAACCATACAATTATCTACGCCCACCCACATACAAATGCATGCTGCACAAGAAATCATCTCTGAACAAAATAGTTGATCTTATTTACATCTACACAATTGTGGTCGATTCTGAGCAACACCGCCTAACCACTGATACTAGTTATCTCATTGACTCAAACCAGGTGGTCTGGATCTACTGATACAGCTAAATCCAATAGTCAATAATTTCGTGAAATGACGTTATTTTTTGGTTTAGCTGAACCGTAGGTTTCTTCCAACCTCAGCAAACATTGTGCGTCGAGGTGGGTGGTGTTTAGATGCAAGCGATACATGTCCTAACAATATCAGTCAATGAAGATTTACAGCACTATCAACTGATTCAGCACATTTATTTATTACAATACGTTTAGCCTCGACACTACTCACTTGGAGGTATCAACATACACGAGAAGTAACTTGAAATGATCTATGACCAAGAATCTGACCTCTACACAATTCTCCTGACTTTCCTAATACGCTTCACGAAGTTTCACAGATATGTGAATAAAATCGGATGTTCTACACCTTTATCCTAAGCAGTTTCAACATAAATGGCAAATGATTGAAACATTTTTAGGACCTATCCAATGTCTATTATACTAACTAACCTTCAAATAACGATCAAAAACATCCGTTAAATCCAAACCAAGAGAAAATTCTGAGGTTGGTTGTGTCAATTGAAGTTGCTTTGAAACTCGAGCTTTTTCTTTCAAAAGAAGATATTCCAAACGAAGTTCAGGTGCTGATTTTTGAAAACTCGCGATTTGCCACCCCTGCATTTGCAACCCTATAACGTGTTGTAAAATAGGTTGATTGTAGCGTTTTGATTTATATAATCCATAACAATGACTAACAGGAAATAAAACCACCTAAAATTTTTTTGAAATCGTTCGATAATTCTGGATGAAAGACTGAGGAAAATACGGCGTTACATCAGGCTGAGTTCTGAATAGAGATATGGATAGAAACGTAGTTTACACTAAATAATATTGTTAGGCACATAATACAATAGATTAAGAAATCCATAAGATGGGTATGACTAAAGGTGAATTCTGTACATCAATAAGTGGAAAACTCATGTGTGTGGATGTGACAGTTTATTCTGGATAAAAGAAATAGATACTTTGGCACCACCATGATAAAATAGGAAGTTTTTTTAAATAGAAATGATTAGGAATACAGTGCACGATTTTCAATCCTACTTCGATGTTCATCTCAATAATCACTTTTTTGGTGCGTTGCTATGTGGGGACTTGAGGTGATACACATATCCCGCGTTCTATTTTACTTATGGCTGGCTTGTATCAATAAACTTGAACATTGGGTACAATTAAATATAAGTTATATACAATACACATAAAAATTCCTTATCACAGCAATCGAACAATACTGTAACAGTGAACTGAGACTATTGCTGTGCAAATAACTCACCTTCTTTGAAAGTCAGAAATATGGCTGAATATCAACAAAACACTTGGTATACAAAGTTGAGCAATCTACATAACAAAATTACTTTATTAGTTTAAATTCCTGAGATTCTTAAGATTTTAAAACGTATGTAAATAATTGTTTTGAGTTTTGGAGTAACTAGGAATATAGATTAGTCTACTACCATTTACAAATCATAATTATCAATTTTACTCGAGTCAGTCAGCTACAAGGTAGGACCACGTACATACGTGCATCGGTCCAAGTTACCACACCTCATTACCACAACAAGATGAACACCGAATTCATAGAAGTAGTTAATTCAGTGGTCGTAATATGTAAAAGAAGGATTGCATATGAGGACATAGTACGGGAAGATAGAATTAGTTCGTAGAAAGAAAGATATAAAGCGATTTTAATCTCATAGTTGAAAGGAAGATAAAAAGTGCATACACCTACACCATTATGATCGATCCTGAGCCATGTCACCAAGAGTCTCCAACCATTGGTTACGATAGTTACGCGGACCCCAACCAAATAGTCTGCATCTACCAACATGGCTAAGACCAGAAGTTAGTGACTTCAAGCACTGATGCCACGTTTTGGTTTGACCGCCTCTAACTTCATTCCAACCATCCCCAACACCGTTAGCAGTGCGCGTCGTGGTAATTTTATTTATTTATTTATTTATTTTAACACATAAATATCGGTACAAGAAGGCACCAAATACATATGCGCCACACATATCTCATTTGATATGTGTGAGGGCTGTGATACTGCCCGGGTGCCCAAACCGAAGCAGGTGCGTCGTGGTAATCGGTGTTCAGGCATACGCAACACGTGGCCCAACCATCTCAGTCGATGAAGATTCACAGCCTCATCAACTGATTTACCATCATTCCCTAATACCATGCGTCTAATCTCATTATCACTTACCCGTTGATCCCAGTAGATGCGAGCAATATTTCTAAGGCACCTGTGGTCAAATACTAGTAACTTACGAGTGTCTTCTACTCTTAAAGGCCATGTTTCGCAGTCGTAAATTAAAACAGAACGAACTGATGTGCAGTATACTCGTCCCTTAATTGTTAGGCAGATATCTCATCTTCTCCATAGGTGACGTAATTTGGCAAAAGTCAAACGAACTTTTCGAATTCTAGCTGAGATTTGGTCAGACACCAACCCATTAGTGCTGATCAGACTTCCAAGATAAGTGAAGTTGTAGAAGCGTTCGACCAGTCCTGAAGCAACAACTTGCATTTAGAGGAGGAAGAACGCATCCCAAACATCCTGGTATTGTTACTCAATGCTACCAAAAGACTGCATTTTATCAGCGTGCTTAAAATTACTGCTTGCAAAAAATAAACGATTGTCTGATCACAGTTCAGCAGACAGTCACCATTATTTGTATGCAGAGTAGGAATACCAAAATTCCTACCTAAATGTCTTTCAGCTCGGTTTAAACTACTTACCTGGGCATTATAGTCACCCGCTGTCTGAGCGTATAGCTTTTTGAAGTTCAGAAAGCTGTGTGTAAAAGTCATCTTTTACTTCATCAGGGCTGCAGTCAATGGAAGAGTAGGCAAATACAACGAAAAGGCAACGACGTATGTCTCTATCCTCTTGAGTTCTTACGGAGCCACTTAGCCAAACATCACATAGGCGACTGTTAACGGGAAACCACTCTAATAGTGCTTGTTTCGCCCTCGTACTTAGTGTTATGCCTACACCTGACAGTCCATGAGAACTAGTCATCGTATCGCCAGATACACAAAGGGTGTATCTGGTTGGCTTTCCCTTTTTGTCGAGGTGAAGTCAAGTGGATGACCACAGTAGGATCCTGTACGCGTGCTTCGGAAACAGCATACATCAATGGCGCGAGATTCTGGAGTCTCAGCCTAGGAGGCCTGCTGGCCGATTTGACACAGGGTGTGTACGTTGAAGGCTTTAATGTGTACTTTGGAGCGGTTTCAGTAGACCTGGGACAGTGTTTCGCGCACTAGAATCGTTGGCTATAGTGACACTTGAGAAGAAGGCCAAAAGATGAAATTTAAAGATGAAAGTCACAGTAGGAGGAATAATAGGAATTAGATTAGGAGATTGATTATGAATACAGTGATCTTGAGTGCTGTTGGAGGTATGAAGGCAGTTATCACCTCCTGGTCGCCCACACAATGGAAGGGTTCTTCTGGAGACACATGAAAAAGAAATTGGGTTAGGGGTGGTCTCAGTGACCTGAGAACGTAGCCGCAGTGTCAAAGGGACAACTGCTTGAGGTCGGTCACACACGACTTTTTTATGAGTAATTTCCGTGTTAGCTCCGTACTCGTTGAGACCTTACCGCAGGAGACGGATATCCATGGGATAAGGTGATTTGTGTATTTTTAGGGTCGACCTTTTCAAACCCCACCCTTATTTGTGAGAAGACAGCATCGCTGTTATGCTGGTTGTCTGAAGGAAACACCTTACTGCCGTCACACATCTGTACAGTCAGCAGTACGACTTCGCCTTCAGACCTCGGGTTTGCTACTTTTAGTTTTACCGTTCTCTAATCAACCTGCTTGGCATGGTAGGACCTTGAGGAACGATTGTCCCAGTCAGCATAGCTCGATTGGTTCATGATAGGCAAGGACAACCACCACAACGTAGCAGCAACGACCGGGTTTTACTCGAAAAAATTATCCTGGTAATTTACACAATATTAATTAGCCATCGAAGCAATATTCCTTCCTAATATGTTTGAAAAGGAAGATCATAAACAACATATGTTAAAGTATTATAGTGAATTGTTTGATTTTTTTTAGTCATTTATTTCATCGGTATAAATAAAAATGGCACAAAATCCAGTTGACTAACCTCTATAACCAAAACTATCATAAATAGCACGTTGTTCAGGATTGCTTAAAATCGCATAAGCTGAAGCAATTTGACTGAATGCAGCCACTGCATCAGATGAATTTGAGGTTATTTTCTCCTTATCTTCTGGTGTAGAAATAGAATGCTTATCCGGATGGAACAACAGGGAAAGACGTTTGTATGCCATGCGTAGATCAGCCGCCGATGCATTTTTGTCAACGCCCAATACAGAGTACAGATCAATGTTCTCATATTCATTACCTTCAATATCTTCTAAAAGATTAATAAATTCGGGATCGACTGGTTCATCCGAATCATCTGCAGAATCAACAACTTCATGTCCTTGATAAGAACTGTCATCAAATTTCGAGTTATGGTCTGCGTACATGTATGGGACAGATTAACAAAATTAGTAATGTGATTTCCAACACAACAGCGTCAGTTTGAATCTTTAAACAAGAAAGAACCGAAATATATAGGATATATAATGTAGATTTGCAAAGGGCAAGGTATCGTTAACTAGTTTATCAACAACTTCAATTAAACAAATAGCTCACACCATTGTGTGAGGGGGTTACCGAATAATCTTGAAAAATATTAGTTTTATGAGCACTGATGACCATTTAACCACAGCATTGATTCCCAAGCATCGATGATGTGTAATCAGATAATTATACTACTAATACTTAGTAATTCTTCAAGATCATGATGTACGTATCTCAAACAATTCGTAAAAATAGTTCACCAAAATGTATAGACCATTTTTAATTTAAACATGACATAAAAAAATTAAAAAAACTGATGATATGCACAGATGTGCCTGGTCCTACGTTGTAGCTGACTGACTGATTTGGGGACGATTACCAAACACTAGCCGTCAAGCTGTTATTGATACTACTTCTATACAAAAAAATCAGGTTACGTAATTCAGTCGGTAAAACCCAAATCTGACTACTTGAACAAAGGTGAATACAACCACTTTTGGTCACGAAATATTTGCTTATAAAAAGTACAATAAAGACTGGAGTTTGTGTGACAAGACAACTCATTGTGTTCATAAAGGTTTTCGTATTGTTAAACTGAAATACACGTTCGAAATGAACGTACTGGGTTTGAGTCCCGAATTTAACACCAACTCTGGGACGCAAGCGCATCCAGTTGATAGGTCCAAGATATGACGAGGTACATGCCCCGGACATTACTGCTAGCCACCATCCATCTTTGCTCATAAAAAATTACATGTTACGAGCAATCCCTCGAAACGAGACCCTGCGTTACACATATCCCTCATCACACTGCCGATATTATTTCTTTGCTTTATAACTATTGTTTCTAACTTAATTTCTGGAAATATAATACGACGCACTGTAATATGTTTATTTAAGTATTCAAACAATCAAGCTTTAGGAAGAAGCCAAAAATGAACATAGCTGAAAAACCATTTGAAAACCAGGAAAAAAGTGCAGATTTTTCACAGTAATTTATTCGAAATATACATTACAATGAGACAATCGAGAAGCCAACAACACAAATGCAGTCAGGAACCTATTATTGTTATAATTAATGGGTTTATTGTGTTATTTATTAATCTTCATCCATAGCTCCTGGTTGACGAGGTTTCGGTCCACCAGCTGGGCGTGCCATAATAATCTGAAAAGTTTTCCGAAACAAGTGAGTTAAAAAAACAGGCATGGACTAAAGAGAGAGACAGATAAATCTTCTGGAAATGTGAAATCAGATATATGTCAACTAATAGTATCTCAGTGGTCTAATAACCATTACAGAATGTAACACATTGTCAGCAAGGATAATTCAAGAGGGATATATAAGTAATGGACGGTCTATTCTATGCATTGATGACGATGGTATAACAGAAGCATGAAATATACTGCTTAAAGGCTAATTCAACTATGTACGTGGTTACTGAACTGTTTCTGACATAAATATAGCAGGAGTGTGGAGTTCGAATATCAAAAGAAATATGACTAATTAGATATGAACATTTTCCTAGAGATCAACACTTGTAAATTTGATATTACTTTTATAATTTGCCTAGAATTTATTTTTACAATTACAAATAATCATAAGTCAGATCTCTATTTTAAACTCAAAGGGACAAATATTGAACGGAACGAAAAATAAGTTTTGTAAGAAAATAGTTTTAACTAAGCGCATCAAATTATTTGTAAATGTATTCATTATCAATCGATCTAACACTTACTAGATTAATGTATTTACATGAATATACCTACATTTGACAATTTATTTTAAAATGCTTACCTGATCGACACGCAGTATAGTGTTCGCAGAATTTGTTGCAAGTCGAATAGCCCAATGTTTTAAAAGATGGAGATCCAAAATCTCGAATTTAACAGAATCGTTAACAGATACTTCACCATTTGGTTGAGTGACTAAACCAGTATGTATTTGACCAGATTCATGTTTAGCGTACAAAACAGCAACTATTTCAGTGATCTTATAAAAACAAGACAGGTGAAAAGAAAGTAATTAATCTTGGTCAATATGAGGTTGACGAGATTGTACAATGTTACTAAAATTATGAACCGTTTTAAATTGGACAACTATTGAAAACCTGGAAGCAATGGACAGCTGTTTCGTGCATGAATAAGTAACAGCACTCTCATTACAAATGGCTGTATTCTTACAATGTTTACAGATTGGTTCAAGACACTGGGGATTATTGTGACATGAAAATAGAGTACCTTTTTAGACAAAATACAATTCTTGATGTGCCCGATAAAGCAAAAACCAATAAAATTACAAGGCAGTTATTGACACTAGCTTTATCTATATGAACTTGTAGTAAAAATTAGACAAACATATTAAAGTTCACAAACCTTTTGTCCAGAGTTTTCGGCAAGTACTTTTACAACGACTTCAAAAGCCCGGGCAAATTCTCTGATAGCATACTGTTCAAGACCAGGTACTGTACCAGCGTACGATGCAAGACGGCGAGCCAGCTCTATTTCCGTTGCTCCGGCACCTGCAACCAATTTAGGACTACGTGTAAGGCACTTGAATGTGTTGACACCATCATCAATAGCACGTTCAACATCATCCATTATGTTTTCCGTACTTCCCCGAATCAATAAGGTAACGACGGTTCCCTCATGTGTGTCTGTTATAAATCAGAAACAGAAATTGTTAGCTGTAACTGCAGTAATCAGAACTTTTTAAAATCAGATAGGATAACCAGTAAACTAACCTTGTTCAAAAATAACTACACTTGCGTCAGCTATTTCGTCCGAATAAACATGACTAATGGTCCCAAGTTCCTCAGGAGTGGGTGTTACTAATTGAGGGAGAGCTGATGCACCAGTTGCTTGACAGAGACGTCGAACATCGAACTTGCTGCTGAGCTTCACTACCATCATATTCAATTTGTTGGCGTAATGCAGTGCCAATTCCCCGACTTTGCCTCCACTAACAATAACTTTTACTCCAGCATCCGAAAGAGAACGCATGTGCTGAAAAAGTAATATTAATCACAAGTGAGTACATTACAAAAGATAATAAGAGTTATAGGTTACGATCGTATCTACAGATTACAATGCTAATAAGATGTGAAAGTTTGTTGTAGACTAGTTAAGTGAAAACCCAAATTCAGAGGACTCATATGAAGTAATTTGTCTTGCTTGTAATAAATAATATGGTTTGAATCAGTGACTGACATCAAATCATAATAGCTATTAAACTAAGTAAATTATTTTCCATATCTCAATTATAACTAGTACTTTGAGTAAGCAGATACTAAAAACGAATTCAGGTAAACACACGCAAAAATAATTTACTTTTTCCATCAAGTCCTCCTCTCCTTTACTAAATTTTGTGAGTTCATCTGCAGATGTAAGTAAAACTGTTCCTTTCGTTTCTGTTTGAAGGGCATCAACGGGACAGGAGAAAATTGCAACTTTTCCATTGAAAACCTCCTTGACCTCTCCTTCGGTTTCCCGTCGAAATACCATACCTTTAATCATTTTCGACTGATTGACACCAGCACCCTATGAAATTGTTTGATAAAATGAGTAATTTAGATAAAGTTACTGAAATACAATAACAAGGAAAGATTTATGTCAAATAATAAAGCCGAGCATTTAAGGTGCAGTATGGTTAGTATCAGAATACGACAATATTTATTAATTATAATGAAACTAAAGGTAAAACAGTGCAAGAAACTTAGTAATCATCAGCATTTGCGACCATCACATATAAATCACGCTCATTGAAATTGTTTTAACAGGAAGTCTGGCGTTAGTAACGACACTTTAGGAGGCAAATCAAATGAGTAAACTGTACATATATTTACTTTTTAATTTGTTTATAATGAAAAGTAATTTCATGTTTCAAATTTTTTTATTGGATGTATAGGTGATTTTCTTTCACTAACTTTTCTTAATTCAGATGGATTTATGAAAATTACAGTAGAGAACACTAATACCAATGCATTTTTTGGCTCGAACACAAGTGGATTTACTAGGACGGACACAAAGTAAAGGCTGATTAATAGAGCAGCCATTGAAAGTGTAGAGGTCTTTGTAATGCTGCATTGGGTGTAATGTCTCATACTTTCCATGCACAACTTTAAGAAAATTTAATTACTCAATTCGCTTTCACACGTGCATTATTTGGAGCAATTGCATTGACCGGTCTAAGATGAAGATATTAAAACTCAAGGATATTCAAGAAATAAGACTAATCTATATCGATACTGAAAATCGTGCAATAGGTATTTGGAACAGCGTTTTTTACCTATTTAAAACTGAGCTAGAGATATCATTAGAAGACTGATAGACATCAACATAGAGCTTTCTATAGATGTGCGTTGCCACGAGCTAGCATACCTGATTAGGATGACGATGTGAGTGACAAGGGATCAAAGTAAAGTAGTGGCAATAATAAAAAAGGTAAGATTAAACCTTAGGAATGATTTAAAAACAGTGAAAAAGTAGGTAGGGAGGGATGCTCGGATTTAAGAATGAAGGGCGAAATATTTCGACCGTCACCCGAAGTCATTATAACAAACTAAGTTTGTTCTTAAACTTGGACATGTGGGACTACTTTTTCGACTTTTTTTGTTTGTTGCAAAAAGTTAATTAAAGATATGCTTGCGTAACTCAACTGTCTCGTCAGATATGGACTATATCTAGGTTCAATTATTTTAAACGGTGAAGTACAGACATTATGGACATAAATTAGTCACGCCAAGTGTGGCTAAATGTTTATTTAATGCATTAAATTTGATACAGTGATAAAGATCTAAAATAGTGTCATACAAACAGATAACATGGAGAAAAAAAGAGGGGACTTTTCTCAAGCTACTCACAAAAACTCTGTGACACCACAAACGCCATAGATGACATCAACTATGGCGAAGATGAGATATCTGCCTAACAATTAAGGGACGAGTATACTGCACATCAGTTCGTTCTGTTTTAATTTACGACTGCGAAACATGGCCTTTAAGAGTAGAAGACACTCGTAAGTTACTAGTATTTGACCACAGGTGCCTTAGAAATATTGCTCGCATCTACTGGGATCAACGGGTAAGTGATAATGAGATTAGACGCATGGTATTAGGGAATGATGGTAAATCAGTTGATGAGGCTGTGAATCTTCATCGACTGAGATGGTTGGGCCACGTGTTGCGTATGCCTGAACACCGATTACCACGACGCGCACTGCTAACGGTGTTGGGGATGGTTGGAATGAAGTTAGAGGCGGTCAAACCAAAACGTGGCATCAGTGCTTGAAGTCACTAACTTCTGGTCTTAGCCATGTTGGTAGATGCAGACTATTTGGTTGGGGTCCGCGTAACTATCGTAACCAATGGTTGGAGACTCTTGGTGACATGGCTCAGGATCGATCATAATGGTGTAGGTGTATGCACTTTTTATCTTCCTTTCAACTATGAGATTAAAATCGCTTTATATCTTTCTTTCTACGAACTAATTCTATCTTCCCGTACTATGTCCTCATATGCAATCCTTCTTTTACATATTACGACCACTGAATTAACTACTTCTATGAATTCGGTGTTCATCTTGTTGTGGTAATGAGGTGTGGTAACTTGGACCGATGCACGTATGTACGTGGTCCTACCTTGTAGCTGACTGACACCACAGTCGTCCCAAGAGCTTGTTGGTCACACCCTTAGGTTGCTAAGATTATTACTAATCTGATTTTCTTTTCAGTTCCCTTAAGAATAATCGTTCACAGTATACTTAGCCCAGAAGTTGTTATTACCTTCATACCCATAGCAGCAGTTTCGATCACCTGTATAGAATATTCCTTAATGTAGGAGCAGGATGAAAGGAAGCTATGAGTACTCAGACCAAAACGTCGCATCGGTTGATGAAGACATTGACAATCAGACTGACCAGTGTAGATTAAGCGCGAACTACCTGGTTGGGGTCCGCGCGATTATCTTAACCAGTGACATTGTTCAGAATCATTCATGATGGCACAGGTGCATTTAGTCTATTTCTTCACTTAGACTTTATGGCTTTTCTCAGTCGGTTATTCCATGAGCCCGTATTTCAGCATTGAATTATATTAACATTCTTACTACTAATGATACAACTACTACTTCCATCACTACGGGGTTACTCTTGATAATTTTATCCCCCAGTGTAGTACGGCAAATTAAACTAGTGCATATGTGCGAGGATCTACAATGGGTATGAGTGACGTAATGTTGTCACTGGATTCCATGAGTTCTTTGGGGGTGATTTAAAACAGTAGTCGAACTTTCTTCGTTTGGAGGTCAGATTTTACTAGCATAAGACAAACGCTTCCACTGATATGCGGCAAACATGAACCTTTACAGTCATTCACGAAGGCCTAGAACGGAATAAAGCGCTTTGGTTTTCACTACTAAGATTGATTATATCAGTTAAACCACTCTCAATATACACAACTCCTCAGATACATGAAGTTTTTGACTTCTAACGGCTCACTGCAAAGAGGAAACGCAGGCACAGGTTTCTGGTATTTCCGAGGAAGCACTTTGCATCTAGGGGGTGCAGTATACACGCCTTGGCTACGGACATTAATTCCTAACTGATGAAGTGAGATTTGAATAGTATACACCTCAATAAAAATAAAACATCCGTATACTCAATGTTGGAAAGTCTCTCTCTAAGTAACAGATCCACACTACCACCACCAACTTTTATCGAAGCTATTTCTAGAATACCATCGTTAGAAAAGTTAAAAAGAAACGATGAAACTGGTAGCAATGTTCAGCCTTACTGCTGAATCGAAAGTAGTAAGGTGGTAACTCTTGTTCTGTTTGAATGTATAAACAATACAAAAAAACTTACATTTTTCAACAATTTTAGAGCACAGTCCTATCCAACGAATAGAAGGTTATTTGTAGATAGAAGGCTGATACCGTGTTCAAAAGTTTACGTCTGACTGAATCAAATTGTTTTCTATGATAGAAAGATGATCTAACACTAATAAAAAATCCAGATGACTACTTAGCACACTGAAAACTGATGCACTAAATATACCAAAGGGGTTTGGAATTCTTTGACTAGTCATGTGGGTTTAGTAAGTGATCGCATAAGAAAAAGGAGTCTGAGTATGGAAAAGGTTACAGGTAGTGGGTCAGCATTAGGATTCCTGAGATTTAGCCTAGAATTTCGAGTTAAATTACATCTCACGATGCCACATGCTTGCTAAGACTGAAACACCAGTTACGTCATTTAACTACACATCCCTATTGATCAAAGACCTTTCTTATGTCACAACGGATGATAGGGGCCAGTAAGTAAGTCATTTCCTTTACATTTTTGGATCTTAACTAGTTCTAGCAAGCGTGTCAGCACTAGTTGGAATGGTAACTTAATTTCCTAGAATAAGCGAAACTATGGTTGCACTAGCTGTTAAGAAGTGGATACTAATATCTCAATCTTATGGACAGATACTGGTGAATGAAAGTGACGACCTCTGCTGTCATTTGCAAATTACCTAAAAGCTAGTATTTGTAGATGTGTCTGTGAATCACAGATAGCATGAACGCATACGACAAAATCAGTGAGAATATGGAGACGTGTAAACTAGGACATAAAGAAAAGATGAGTTGATTTGTCAGCTATATACTTAGAAAATCTTAGCAATATTCGCTAACAATGCCAACGAACTGCACCATTATATTGTTATGTACAGAACCTATCAAGACTTCAGGTTGTTTAGAAACAAATGAATCTGCACTTCCAGCTATGCATAAATCATTAGCGACTTAAGACTGGTGAAAAATGAGATCTTTTAGAAGCACGGTCGACTCAAAAAATTTAGGATAAAGCATGGAAAGAATGAGAAAAGTCAATCAACTTACCAAAATCTTTAAAACACGGATATTGTCAACGTTGAAATATGATTTTTGTGGTAAGGTTTCAACTAGGAAAATAACCTGCGTCAATTTTATACTTACTGCATGCTTTCGTAATAAGTTCGGATAAGAAGTCAGCGAGATCGACTTGTTTACTCATTACAGCTGTCTTTATGACGCGTAGAACACTTTTATAACACCGTATATCAGACAAGTTCTCCACCACGAGTTCTATCAGTAGAAATAAAAAACCGTTAAGCCATGATTACCATCCAAGATTTCCAAGGCCTTTTTACATCCCATTTCGAATCCACTGGTGACTTGAGCAACTGAGAGACCCTGACTGCGTAACTAAACATGAATAGATATACGTACCATTTTCAGGAGGTCTCGAGCCTGCTCAAGAAGTGCTCCAGAAAGCTGAAATACAGCGTTAGTTCCATCACCAGCTTCTTGTTCTTGTTGTTGAGAAGCCATAACTAGTATTTTGGCTGCAGGATGTGCAACTTCAAGTTCCTTGAGTATTGTAGCTGCGTCGTTGGTGACGAACAACCGGCCAACATGATTTATGACAATTTTGTTCTGTCCTGAAGGCCCAAATGTGGATCGGATGGACTTAGAGAGTGCCAGGCATGCTTCAATATTTCGATATACTGACTCTTCTAAGCCTTCAAAGTACTTAACAGAAATTAGTAAGGATATTGACAATTTACTCTAGCACCCTCCTTCAGCATCGACATGAAGCCTGGAGCCTTTGGAATGTGGAGAGCCATCGTTTTAGTGTGGACAAATACAAATGGTTGCTACGACACGGCGTGACACCCAAGTTATCGCGCTCTACCTACCAAATTCAAAATAGCCGGCAACTGAAAAAACTACATTTAAAGCCCAGAATTAATGAAGAAATTATAAAAAAGCTCGCAATCAGTACGCTACTTTATCTAGAGAACTTGAATTCTTTGTGTCTCTTAGAAGGTACTAGCTTGAAAAATTAGTGTTGAATAAAAGGTATTTTGTACGTTCTGTACAGACATAAAATTATTGAAGATTATGTGGAAAGTTCTTCCGTCAAACTGACCAATAATGCGCTTCAACGTTACCAGTGCAAGGTTTGCTCAAAAGGCATTTTTGTCACAGTTGGCGTAAGACTTTAAGTCGTAGGGCACCAGAACTCCTAAATCTTTTTCGACTCGGGATACTACTAGAGAGGAGTTTCCTAAGTTGTAACTGCAGTCGGCGACACGTCGCAGATGGACTACTTTACACTTTGAAGTGTTAAAGGTAAGTCCGTTATCGTCTGCCCAACTTTGAAGTCGAGTCAGATCCACCTGAAATGCCTGTATGTCCTCTTGGTTGCGTATCTCTCTCCAAAGTTTCACGTCATCGACAAACAGTAATAAGTCTGACGATACCTGTTGACGAAGACCATTTATATAAATCAGGAAGAGAAGAAGTCCTAGTACTGAGACCTGGGGGACCCCACTAGAACATTCCATAGTCTGTGATAAATTGAAGTTTACCCTGACCTTAAAATGTCGATTTGTGAGATATGAACTGAGCCAGTCAATTAAAGGTTGTTTGATACCCAATTGTTTGAGCTTGTTAATAAGACATGTGTGGTTAACCCTATCAAAAGCTTTGGAGAAATCAAGGTAAATGATGTCCACCTTCCCCTTGCGATCAACGATTCTTGTCCATTGTCCACCTCAGTCAGCAGGTTTGTCATACAGGATTGACCCTTCCTGAAACCATGCTGCTGGGGTGAGAAGAAATTTAAGAACAGTAGATAGTCATGTATACCATCGTATACCAGTGACTCCATGATTTTTGGAGGTATAGAGAGAAGGGCCATCGGTCGGTAACTTGATGGTTCGCTGCGTCGACCTCCTTTGAAGATTGGTGTGATATGAGCCAGCTTCCAAATATCCGGTAGTTTGCCCCGACTTAGCGAGTGTGAGAACATCACGCTAAGCGGTGTTGCCAGGATTGAAGCTGCTTCCCTCAGTATAGCAGAGTGGACCATATCTGGACCAGGAGAAGTGTCTGTTCTTAGGTGTTGTAATTTACGGAACACCAAGTCAGCGCTCAGTTTCACTACGGAAAGTCCTGTGCAGTTGCAGATAGAGCCATCACCAGTATAGTTGGTGTGGATCGGTTGAAATGTCCGGGAGTATTTCTCAGCCAGAAGGTTAGCGGCGTCACCGTCATTATCTGTCGGGCCGTTAGGACCTGGCGGTTGAGATACTCCAGTTTTGGCATGACAAAGAGTGGCTGCGTAACGGAATAAGCTTTTCGGATTGGAAATAAATTTATCCATAAGCTTTAACTGGTACTGAAGCCTGTCTTCTCTTACAGCCTTCGTGCATTTGTTCCTTACATGTTTGTATTGCCTGTACTCGCCGTTGTTGTCAGTTCGTTTGTATTCTGCCCAACAGTGCCTTTTACGGCTTAACAAACGAAGAGTGCGGTTCTTGATGATTGTAGGTTGCTTGTGCCTTTTGAAGACCGTTTGAGGAACTGACTGCTTAGTAGCACATGAGAGCGTGTGCAGTAAGGAGTCCCAATGAGCATCCACATCAAGTTGAGGGTGAACATCCCAATCCACCTGTTGTAGATAGTCCTGTAGAGCTGACGCCTTCAACCGTTTGAAGTTCCAGCTCCTGTTGTTGTTGTGATATCTTAACACAGTTTTGCTGACGAAACTGAAGGCTATAACGGCGTGATCGCTTTTCCCCAGGAGAGCCAGAATTGAGAGGTTGTCAACTAGAAATTCTTCATTTGTAAAAACACAATCTAAGCGCGACGGTGTCTGACTGTTCCTCCAACGAGTAGCCAACTTCACATATTCGTGTAGTCCCAAGTCCTCAATGAGGTTGAAGAACCGAGCTTCGATTGAATTTCCACCTCCAGTATACGTATGTTCCGCGAAGTTGACTCTAGGCAGATTGAAGTCCCCTAGGATCAGGATATGAGTGAAGCCGAGACGCGTAGAGCGGGATAGTCCTTCCAGCATGCGACTGTCATACTCGATGTCGGCAATGGGCTTCCTATATATGACTCCGACTAGGCACCTCGAAGTAGTGGACAATCTTACAGGGCACCATATGGATTCCTCAAGATTGTCAAACTCATGGTTGTGAACTTGGTTACACCAAGCCAGATCGTAAGTATAGGGCTACTCTACCCTCAATTCCTGTTTCTCTGTCATTGCGAAAAAGAGACATCCCAGGTATTGCTAGCTCCTGGTCCGAATACTGAAGAGATATCCAAGTTTCAGATATTCCTATCAGATGAACTTTATTAGCGTTGCTAAGTTCACTTAGGTCATCCATTTTATTTGGTAGACTTGTAACAGCTTAGGTTGGTTGTCAAGAGTTAATCTCAAGCAACTAATTATATGTCAGGACAGCATAGTTCAGATATTTATTCACTTCTTTATTTTGTTTAGGCGTTATATTTCTATCTATTGCTTGTTGAGAGGTTTTGTTTGTCTGAGTAAAGAATCTCACGCTCCACTGTGACTGCGCGAAGAAAAAAATAAAGACCTATTTCCCTACGAGTCTGGTTTTTTCTATTAATAACGCGAGGGTTACCATAAGACACGAAACTGGTGAGCCCTGTGAAACACATATTTGATTTCATTGTTGATTAATAATTTTTTTCGGTTTTACTTTGTCGTAAAAGTAGACCTTCTGATCATCGGTAAACATATTCTGGTATATATATATATATATATACATAGATTTTTAACAATCTTAAGGTATTCGTGCTGTAGTAACCATTTTTCGTGCTAAGTTTATTGCTATATTGTTCATATACTTCATGTCAGACTCAATACAAGCGCAAAACCTGGAGGATTTGTCACCAGTGGAGATAGACACTGTTATGACTACGAAATCCCGACTTCCAGAATTTGATCGTAGTGATCCTGAGTTGTGGTTTGCTCAACTAGAGCATTATTTCACGAGACATAATATCAAATCCGAAGGAATTCGCTATAGAGACTTGTGTTCTATACTTTCTCCTTCAGTCACCAAAGAAGTCCGTGACTTGATTTTAAGCCCACCATCACCACAACCATACACCATTTTGAGACGAGAGATCATAAACCGTTTATCATTATCAGACAGCCAAAGACTCAGTCATAGAGGGACTCATAGCAAGTGTGAAAAGTCTCACTGAGGCTGTTGCCAAAATGCAAATGGATCATAGAAACAGGAGTAGATCACCACAACGAACAAGATCCAAGTCACCAAACAGATTACAAATGTCCAGACAATCTGGGCAATTCTGTTGGTATCATTGGAATTTCAGTATCAACTCAACAAAGTGCATGCAACCCTGCGCCTGGCCCAAACAAAATCCCAGAAATGCGGGAAACGAGTAACCCCTCCCCAGGTCGCGACGACTGAGGAGGGGCGCCTAAATAGTCGCTTGTTTTATGTTAGAGACAGAAACTCCGGCTCGTGCTTTTTGGTAGATACGGGCGCTGCTCTCAGTATCATACCTCAAAACAAAACTGGTCTGGGGCGAAAAACATCCCCAGTCACACTCCAAGCTGCCAATAAAACTAAAATTGCGACGTTTGGGCAGAAAACTTTAACACCAGATTTGGGGTTCAGAAGGCAATTCCCATGGGTTTTCACTGGGGATGGAATTTCTAGAGAGATACGAGTTTCTTGTTGACACTAAGAAACGAGGCTTAACACTGAAAGAAACTTCGAATTACACAAAAGGCAAAGAAAGTCACATCACATCCCTTAACTTGATTCAAACTCCGCCAGTAACAACAGCGAAATTCCAAGATATACTAGCGGAATTTCCAAACTATACTAGACCAAACCCACAGCCTGCCAAAGACAAACTAAAAGTAAGTCATAATATCGAAACCGAAGGTGCGCCTGTGTTTGCAGGACCCAGGAGACTAACACCAGATAAGCTCAAAATCGCTAGAGCTGAATTTGACTATATGCTACAACTGGGTATTATCCGTCCCTCTGATAGCCAATGGGTTTCCCCTTTGCATATGGCCCCAAAGAAAAACGAAGGCGATTGGCGACCGTGCGGGGATTACAGAGTCCTCAACCGTCAAACCGTACCAGATAGGTACCCGATACCGCATATCCAAGATTTCACAAACGGTCTACATGGTATGAACATATTTACTAAAATTGACTTGGTCAGGGCATATCACAATATTCCGGTGGCTGATGAAGATATCCCCAAGACAGCTATTACTACACCTTTTGGTTTATTCGAGTTTGTACGCATGCCATTCGGCCTGAGAAATGCGGCACAAACATTTCAAAGATTCATGGATAACCTACTTCGAGATATGCCATTTGCACAGGGGTATATAGACGATTTGTTAATTGCCAGCCCCGATTTACAATCACACGAACAGCATGTACGAGCAGTGTTAAAAAGACTGGATGAAAATGGGATGAACATACATCAAAGTGTGTTTTCGGTGTTCGAACTCTAGAATTTCTTGGGCACACAATAAGCCCAGAAGGGATTACACCTATCAAAGCAGAAGTGGACATCATCAAACAATACCCTATACCTAGTTCTCTAACACAACTGAGAAGTTTTTTAGGTCTAATTAACTTTTATCGCAGATTCATACCCGGTTGTGCACAACTAATGCAACCCTTGACAGATACACTTAAAGGAAAACCAAAAGAATACAAACTGTCTTCTGACGCCGTCGAAGCGATTAAACAGCTAAAAGATAAACTGGCTCAGGCATCTACATTGATGTATCCGAATTCTCTTTCCCCACTTGCTTTAATGGTGGATGCTTCAGATAAAGCAGTAGGTGGTACTCTTAATCAACTGGTTGAAAACGCATGGAAACCAATTGCTTTCTTC